GGTCAGGCTGGTCTCAAACCAGCCCGCCTCGGCCTCCCAAAGTGCTGGGATTAGAGGCATGAGCCACTGCGCACAGCTGGACCTGGAGTCTTGACTCTTTTCTGGAAGGCAGGGAGAACCCAGGACTAGTTTCCCAGGGACCCTGTACCTGCCAGAGGAACATCATAGCCCAGCTGTCTCTCTGTCCTCCCAGGTATGGGAGTGTGTCAGCTCCCGGGGGAGTCTCACTACGTGAGCTTTGATGGTAGCAACCATTCTATCCGGGACACCTGCACTCACGTCCTGGTGAAAGTGTGCCACCCCGCCATGGCCTTGCCGTTCTTCAAGATCAGTGCCAAGCATGAGAAGGAGGAAGGTGGAACTGAGGCTTTCCGCCTTCACGAGGTCTACATTGACATCTACGACGCCCAGGTCACCCTGCAGAAGGGCCACCGTGTGCTGGTGAGCTGGGTGTGGTGACCAGGCCTGAGAGGAAGTGTTGGGGAGGGGACTCCGGTCCCTGCTCCTACTTACCATCACTGTCCTCCTGTGTAGATCAACAGCAAAAAGGTCACCCTCCCCGCAATCTCCCAGATTCCCGGGGTCAGCGTCAAGTCCAGCAGCATCTACACCATTGTTAACATCAAGATCGGGGTGCAAGTCAAGTTTGATGGGAATCGTCTCTTAGAGATTGAACTCCCCACAACCTACTATGGAAAGGTGAGGAAAACATCTGGCTCTGCTAGCTGGGGAGGCAGCCCCAGGGAGATTGGTGGCTGGCAGGGATTGGGGGCAGTGTTCACATCGTGACTGCCCAGAGAGGCCACTCCTCAGGATGGAGCAGGGCAGTGGTGGTGCACACCTTTCTGTGTAGGATGGACAAGAGTGTTTCCAGGAAAAAACAGGAAAAACCGTTCTGGCTGGGCGTGGTGGCTCACGCCTGTAATCTCAGCATTTTGGGAGGCTGAGGCAGGTAGATCACCTGAGGTCAGGAGGTCGGGATCAGGCTGGCCAACATGGTGAAACCCTGTCTCTATTAAAAATAAAGATTTAAAAAATTAGCTAGGGGTGGTGGTGCACACCTGTAATCCCAGCTACTTGGGAGGTTGAGGCAAGAGAGTCACTTGAATCCGGGAGGCGAATAGTGAAGTGAGCCGAGATCATGCCACTGCACTCCAGGCTGGGTGACAAGACCCGAAACTCAAAAGAAGGGAGGGAGGGAAGGAAGGAAGGAAGGAAGGAAGGAAGGAAGGAAGGAAGGAAGGAAGGAAGGAAAGAAGGGAGGGAGAAAAGCCACTCTCGTGGAAGGAAGGAAGGAAGGGAGGAAGGAAGGAAGGGAGAAAAGCTGCTCTCGTGGAAGGAAGGAAGG